GGCTAAGAACTTTAACTGCAAAAGTTTTCAATTCAAGAACATCATCTCCAAACTGAGCCCACCAACTACCAAAGTTCTACATGAAGACAAACATAATATTTTATGAATATTGGTTGAAGTAAAAGACTTGAACATAAATATTAACATTAAAATTATAAATACACAAACTATAAACATACCAGAAGATCGTGTTTTGTAGCATGCTTATGCTGCTCTAAATCCAAATATTTCCTTCTTCAAATGAAAATCCTCAAATTGATCATTCACTTTGAGGTAGTCTTCTTCAGAAATGAGTCTGTCCATACATACATATAAACCAGTTTTTACCTCTTTGTCAATATAAAAATCCTTATCATAATGAAATTGGGGGGTTTAAATAGTACGCAGCAGCATGTAAGTGTTGGTGTAATTGTCGATCACACTTTTCATCTATAATATCCTATATTTCTTTGTAGGCGCTTTCTTAACCTCTCAATTCTTTTGCAATGTCTTCTTTAGTCCTATTCATTGCTTCATAAATAAATCTCATAGCCGGTGCCCTCTCACCATCAACCATTCTAAGCACTTTTACTAATGGTCCTGTTGTCTTCAAAGCATAATTTGTACTGAGCCAAAATGAATCATCTTTCATAACAATTTTTTTAACTTGTTTTCCTTCTTGTTTTTTGGCCCATGAACTTTTATCCCACTCTTCAGAAGCAAACATTGCTTCCAAAGGTTGTCTGAACTCCTTGAATCTCTGCAATGTTAAATATGCAGTAACAAATCTTGTAACAACAGGTTTAATAATTTCCTTATCAGTAAATTTTCTCATCAAGCTGAGTACCCAAGAATGATTGTATATAAACTTACTAACATATTTGGCCTTCAATATGACTGATTTATGTTGAGGCAACTGTCCCAACCTCTCAAGCATCAAGTACATACAATGTGCAGTACAATGAGTCCAGTAAAGGTGATGCCTCTTCTAGTGTTCTCCATTAACATTCTCCCTGCAGCTTTGTATACACATGCATTATCACTAACAACCTGTACTACTAAGGCATCTCCCACTTCCTCCACAACTTCATCCAACATTTCAAACAATAATTGTGCATCCTTTACAAAGCTTGAAGCATCTACTGATTTGAGAACAACTGTTCCATATGGATTGTTGACCAAGAAATTAAATATACTTCTGTGTTGAATATCTGACCAACCATCTGACATTATTGTCACTCATGTCTCAATCCAAGTCTTCTTAATATCATCCACCATTTTTGAAGTTGTCTTAACCTCCTCATTCAACATCCAAGTCCTCAGCTCATACATGCTTGAAAGTTGTAGTCCTCTTACATAGCTTCCAACGGATCGTAACATATTGATCCATGACAGACTCCTAACAACATTAAATGGAATCCCATTTTTATAGATGAATCTGATGATATCCAAACAAACTCTGTTCCTGAGTTCTTTTGTAGCTGTAGGAGGTTGAAAATCCTGAGTGTTTATGTTATCATCGTCATTAATATTTATCATAAATCTATCCATAGGATCCCGAGTGCCTCGATTAGAAGAATATAGATGGCTTCCACTATTGGAACCTTCATGCTGTGATCCATAGTAAGAAAAGTTTCCTATCATCTCTTCCATATTTTTTTATGTGACCTCCTTTGTGGTGGCAAACTTCTTTAAATAATATGTATATTCATTTTTCACCTCATCAGGAACTTTTGCACATGGTTCCACATTGACATGAGTGCAAGCTAGATGATCCTTCAACCTCTTGACGCCACCAGTTATGCGTTTCTCACAGAAATTACATTTCATATAAACATATCCCTTCTTTGCACCTTCGCCTGACACTTCAACTTGAGTTCCATATTTTCATGCAAGATCTTTCCTTCTTGTACCACTAATCATGCTAATAATTTATAGAAATAAATAATCAACATCAAATAGGACAGATTTTAATAATTATTTGTACTACCAATAATAAGACAACATGAATACAACAATATACCAGTCTGCCGGAGGTCCAAGGGGGCACTGCCCCCTGGCAGAGTTTGACCTGAGTGGTACCGACTACCGAGCATGTATCGCTCGGTACCGAGCATATACTTCTTGTTGTATATGCTCAATACTGAGTAGTACCGAGCATGTACCGCTCGGTACCGAGCGGTACTGGCTCGGTACCGAGCAGGTACCGAGCAAGTACCGCTCAGTACCGAGCATATACTTGCTTGGTACCGAGCGGTACTGGCTCAGTACCGAGCATGAACGGAGCGATACTGAGCATGTACTGAGCGGACGAATAAAAGAAAGCTGAATCAGAAGTTATTCAAGCTTTCGTTACTGCACGTCAAAGTCAAGGCCCACAACACCGCTCACCTGCTCTTCCGACTTAACTGAGGCCTGAACATTTCCTGCACTCACAACTTCGACTTCGTTTCCTGCTTTCGAAACCGTTATTGCTTTCGGCTTCATTTCCTGCGTCGTCTCCTTCCGACTTCGTCTCCTGCACTCACGACTTCGTCTTCTTCCCTCACGGCTTCGCCTCAAGTTTACTTTTCAATTCTCACAGGAAGCCCTAATCCTATACGCGAATACGCGAAAACGAATCGGCTACATCGTATTTACATATATACCAAAGAAAAAATTTCGAGGCGGTGCCTCGTACTGCCTCGAGGCATTACGCTTTGATGCGTACGCCTCGTGCGAAAAAATTGTAGGCTTCGGTGAATGGTTCGAGGCGTAATACGCATGACTTCCACCTCGACTTGAGGCGCGACTCAATGCGGACGCCTCGTCTGCTTTTTAAATGGTTGATCTCAGCAACATATAACTTAATATTATTCTTCTCTTTTAATGGCCAACATTCTGTGTCATAAAGCATTGCAGGTCTCACCACCATCTTATAAAATTTTCCCTTAAGTTTGAGTGCTACTTTCCTATTACACAACAAAACCAAAGCATTCCTTCACTTCAACCATCCAACTTGAATTATACTAATAATAGTCTCATCTATTTCACCATCACTTTGAACAATAGACCCAAGATCTCTAAAATGAGGCGTGAGAATATGTTAAAAGATAATTACATCCAATGATATGTGTCACAAAAAGATGGATCTAAGCCTGCCCTTGGTGTGAAATGGTATCCCCATAAAAATTCAAGTAATAAGGCCAATAGTGAGAACAATGAGTATGATCTACTCTACGCACATAGCAAATTTGTAAGTAATTTGGTAGAAGTGATTGTGAAAGAAAAGAGCCCGACACATTCAATTTTTGTGAGATCCTAAGAGGAAGTCCAGTTGACATCTTAGGAGTGGCAATGGTCAAAAGAATTCTCAATATGCATTATGGACCATTCCCTTATGCACTAGTCCAAAGTCTCTCAATAGAACAACACAAGAAGTTCAATCCTAAAGCATCACAATAAATGAAATGCAATATCAATGCAAGGCATAACTCTTCTTATTGAATGAATTTGAAACAATTGATCATGATGATGATATAGATAATCTTCTAGATGTTTGATAACAAGTTTCTTGCCCCCAACTATTACTGAGATGTCTATCCATGTCAAAACCCAATTAGGAAGATTTGATATATACTAACATTTTGCAATAATAAAGAAGTATAGAGTAGTAATTGATAGTGGCATTACAATGCATATCATATCTACTTAAGCACTCATAAGGAACACCCTAAAAGATAAGCCACACCTTACACCATTCCATAATAACTAGGTAAATCACACCTTCATGCCTACAACCACTAAATTCTTAATTTCAATAAAACTAGGATGTCATGAAGGCGACGTAATATCCTCCCTATAGACATAGCAATTTTTTTTGGTAGACCTTGGTTATTTAGTATGGATATTATTCACTATGGTCCAGGTAATAATTGTGTATTCAAGACAACAAAAGACCATCACATTATTCTATATCAAGCTAAATGAAAAGGAGGTACCAAAATGAACCAATAAGTCTAGAACTCCAATCTATCTGCAACCATAACAAAAATGCATAGCACCGGTTCATTGTGAGAACTCACCTACTACCTTAGACACCCATTATACTTCTCCCCAATCATTTTAGATACCTATCTTCAAGACCCTAGAACCCATCTACATTAGATACCCATACTGATGAGATTATTTTTCTAAAAAATGATGTTGCACCTCTGGTTCAGGGCCATATATAAATTATGTTCTTAGATTATTTGACTATTTTATTTAATACATCCTCTAGTGAGAATTGATGAGCCTCATATTACATCATTGCCCCTGATAAACACATACGCATTATAATCTCAAATTCTCAGCGTAACTTATTTTACATACATACATGTTATTGAGTTGACTAATAAACCAACGTCTTTTAGTGACACGTAACCTCACCTAGCACTTTCATTTAGATTATTATTGCTATATATGTTGTGCCCCATTAAGCAGCATAAATTGCATGGTAGCATTCACGATTTGTTTTATGTCTTTTGATCTATCGAATATGACAAATCATTCATTATATGCTACTATATTTTCATTAGCACTTGATATTCATAATCTTCATTCACATGTGCTACAACAAGTTAAAATAAATTCCGGCAAACTTGTAAAAACTATTTTTAAAAGTAATAATCTTGAGAATATGATAATAATGATAATGCTTTTATCTTACATTCATTTCCCTTGTTCGACAAAGACAAAAGGCAAGATGCTACATAAAAATCTTGGGATCATTATTTATATTTTGATTTGCGTCCTAATTGCTCTAATTTTAAGAATAGTTCACATATATTGCTATGAGGTATAGTTTGCAGAGCCAAACAAGATTATCAGCATTAATATGACTCTTGGTGCTAATAACAAAACCATACTTTAATTAAATCCGAACATAATGAACACAAGGCTATTTAAATGTTCCAATATTTATGAAAATAAGCTGAACATAAAAGGCAACAATTCTTCCCTTTACACAACAATAGAAAAATCAAGTAAAAAATATTTACCTTGGTCCAAGCAATTCCACAAGCATTGCATAAGGTCCGTGGTCCTTCAGGGCCACGACGCATGTGAGGTGTGGCCTTCGAACTAGTACCGCAACGAAGACATCTGAAGTTTCATCAAACAAATATTTACTGATAAGTTGAGGGACTGCATGTCTTCTAACACAATTGCAGCAATAATTTAGATTGAAACATAAACATTCTTACATAGAACAAGACAAAAGTATATCACTATACAATACTTTCTTCACAAAATAAAACTTCACTTTATGTGTAAGTTCCGGGAGAATTTGATATGTTGACTACGGCATATTCTAAAAATTTTTGTGTGCCATACTTTGTATGCCTGATTTAATAACCAAATACGTTTGATACTAAAGAAAATAGAGGTATGATCAGAAAGAAAAAAAAGAGAGGTAGAGAGTGTGCAAATCAGTGGATTGTTGAAACAGTTGTGGAATGCAACCAAGCAGACTAATCTAAGAGATGAATCAATTTATGTGACTGAATTTGAATGAAATAAGATCCTGAAACCATTTCATTGGGACTCCAACTCATCACTAGCTTTATACTATATGGAGTCAAATTGTTTGTCAGATGCAACATTAGATACAAAGATTAGTATAAGCCTTTCCAAAAGCTTCTAATAATTTTACATTTTGTGGGTTCATTTTTCTAGCTAGTTCTTTTACATTGTACTAACTCATCATATAGGTGCTTTTTCTAAACTTCATTGTGCATACTTAAACAATTTTCATATATTCAAAACCAAAATTTCATAGGTGTCATTCCATTGTCTATCACATAATCATTTCTCATTTGAATGTTCCTAATTTTTTCATGCATCCATCTTAAAAGTGCACATTTTTGCCACATTCAACTTAGTTGTCAATAATTGCCCTGACACACTTGAATTCCTCGATTCTCAATGATCTATTTATTGCATAGTATTTTGGAATCATTTCTCCAATTTAACAACAAAACATCAACTGAAAAAAATATCTCAATATTTCTAACCACATTCTTTTATATATTAGATTAATTGTGCATAAACATTGCTTTCACTTTCAATAAAATTGATAAAAAATTATCAATTTCATATCAACCAACTAATGGAATATGATTCATAAATTTGATTCCCCTATAATTATCACTTTGATTATAATTATAATAGGATTACATTAATGATAAGCATTATGTTCATATCTTTTTGTATTAGTAATAAAAATGTGTACAAAGAACATCCAAAGTGAGCGACCGTTATAAAAATTGAGTATATAATATTTGATTTTAGTGGTTGTGATCATTGTTTAAAGCAATGTGAAATAGATGGGGATATTATTAGTAGAATTCAAGTTCGATGGTTGAAGTGAAGGAATGCATCAGGACTGTTGTGTGATAGAAAAGTACCCCTCAAACTTAAGAAATTTTTTTATAAAATGGAGGTGAGATTGCAATGCTTATGGTGCAGAACGGTGGCCATCAAAAGAGAAGCATAAAATTAAGTGAAGTGGTGATGAGTAGCTTTATACTTAGAGATAGAATGTGAAACAAGTATATACATGAAAGGGTTGGAATAGCTCCAATGATAGATAAGATTGAGTCGTCTTAGATTATTTGGACACTTAAACGTCGGCCTTTTGATAACTTTTTTAGGAGAATAAAAGTATTAGATCTAACATATATTAAGAAAGGTAGAGGTAGACCTAAAAATATTTAATTAGAAATCATTAAAAATGACACTTTTCTTAGATTTAAATAAAAATTTGACTCTAAAAAGAATATGATGGAGAAGAAGGATTCATGTAGCTGACCCCACATAGTGAGATAAAGGCTTATTGTTGGTGTTGGTGTTGGTGTTGGTTGTGATCATTGTTTAAAAGAATGCCATCTAAAGTGGGTCATAGATTGAGGCGCGCAAAAAAAAGCTTAGAGTGTAAGGCACACCTTATGGCATTTTTTATGAGCGTAAGCCTCAATTTACTCTGTTATTGGTGTTGGGTCTTTTTAATTTATAAGCCCAAAACCCAACTTCCATTATGATTTACACCTAATTCTTCAATTATGACATTTTTTTAACTCCCCATATTAATTAATAATGGATTCAATATAATATAAAACAAAGTAACATATTAATAATATAACAAAGTAATCCATTATATTTAAATCACCATTTGATATTTTTTTAAAAGTTTGAACTCTACTTTGCTACTTTCTTTAAATTGATTATGAAGTAGAAGTTATTCTCAATTTAATAATCATTTTAATATTAGCATTGATATTTTCATTTTTTTCATCATCAAACGCATTCATCCATTTTCAATTTTAAATCTTTTACTATTTTTGCTATTATTCATTCATCCTTTGAAAATATATCATTAACAGCCAAAGGATTTATTTCATCATCACCGGTTATTTGTCTCTATAATTTGAAGAGTGTATCTTCCAAATTTTTATTAAACATAACACAATAATTCAACCTTGTTCATTCATCCTATAGCTAATTTGTTCATTCTCTTTGTGTGATAGAATAAAGTATATATATTATTAATAATAATATATAATAAAAAATGATAAAACTTAACTATAATGAGGCATTGCCTTGAAATGTCTTGAGGCATGCGCCTCATTTAAAAAAGACGCAAGCCTCATTGGCACCGGTGAGGCTCAAGCCTCGAGGTGTTCATTGTGTGCCTCAGTTCAAGGCGTGCCTCGAGGCGTTAGCCTAAAACAATTTTTTAAACCATGGTCGTATGCTAGCATGCTGATATAGGCTACCAACCAAGCTGCATACAACACTGGTTCCCTGTGCATGTTGGCCAGTAAGTTGCCATTCAATGCACATTTATAACTCCTGCTTGCAGGGTACTACTGATGTGAATGTTGTACATTCATCATTTGATCTTTGCTTGCGAGATATTAGTGTATTTGCTTGCCATCAATTGATTCTTAACTATAGGAAGGATCCAACATTTGCTGCACATTGTTCGTTGTCATCAATAGGTGGATTACGTAGGCATGATGAATCTCCTATAGTTGCTTGCAAGTGTTCATATTTAAAATGAGCTCTTGATTATTGTTTGCATATGAATTGTCACATCATAGATCCCCTACTTGTTCATTCACTGCAATCTCCTTGGATATGTTTATAGGGAACTCATTGCACCTACCTCATGTCCGCAATCATTATCTACAAATGGCTTAGTGTGCTTATTTGCAGTAACAATAGTTGCATGTAAGATGTCGATGTTGACTACAGGTCATCACTACATTCATTGCTTGTGGCCCTTGTGTGAGTTGTTGTGTGCCTGATAGGTTTTCTAGCATTGCCAGCAAGTGTCACCATTACAATCCACAAGCCGGTTGTTGCTTGCATAACAAGTCTTTCGCTATTGTATGTAGGAGGTACTTATGTTCCTTGCAATTAACTGATGTTATTTGCAATTTGTCCATGTCTGAAGATTTCCCACCATGAGTCTCCTGCTTGTTTATTAGTTTTCATTTGAATGATTTGAATTAACATTTATCATTTGCATTTTCAAATTTTATTATTGTGCATTTTCAATTTTAGGGTTTAATTCCTTGTTGTTCTATTCATGTTCTGTTCCTTGTATTTCATTCAAGTCTCATGTATTGATGTTCAAGTTAGGTCCTCTATTCACTGAAAATTTAGGCAGCATCCCGACATCTCCCCCATTTAGGGGAAATTTAGGGGGAGTCTTAGCCTTCCCACTATGTAAAAAAAGATGTGCACGGTCGGTGTCAGATGACACCGCGGCCATAGTTTTCAATCCCACCATGGCAAGAAAGATGTGTATGGGTCTTTAGGGGTACCTATATAAAATGAAAAATTGTTTCCTCACAGGCACCGAGGCACATACACGGGTATTTAATTTATGCCATGCCATGCTAAAAAAAGCGCGCACAAAGCTTACATGCCTCGCTGCAAACAACACAATGAGTTTCTTTCCACCGCACTAAAAAAACGTGCATAGGTGGTTGCTCGCCGCACTACCGAGAACAAGGTTGGAGGGATCATACCTTTGTGATCGGCGAGGTGATTGTATCGGCGATGTCCGGGGCACGACGATAAGGACAACAAAAACTTTCATTTCCCTTTTTTTCTTTTTCTTTTATGAATTATTTGTAAGTTAATGTGTTTTTTATTTTTCTGTTTTGAGGCTTACGCCTCGCCTAGCTAAAGCAAAACATCGCGATTCCCACTTTCGAGTTTTTAAATCTACCTACTTGCAAATGACAATATCCCCTGCAGACATCCACAAGCAGCAGTGATAGTAAATATGTTGCGAGGATGTTAAGTCCCCTGTGGACATAGATACGCAAGCAACGTGATATTTGCGAGCAGGTACTGAAGATTGCAGCAAATACAAGAGGACTACAACAAATGGAAGCGCCTACGAACCGTTGTAGAAAACCCACGCAGTTAACAATGACACTAAGAAAGAAGCGCTCTCATTTTTACATTGAACTTGAAGGTTTTGTTGATCAAGTACAACTAAGTTCTCCAAATTAACAACTTTGGAGGTTCTAATAGTGCAGTTGGGATAAAGAAAGGTGATTCAGTGTAAGGAGAAAACCTACTGACATTTTACCAGAGGAAGATCCTAAATGTGGCACTAAGTATGCAAGGTTGAATGATTCTGCAAAGTTAAAGAACGATCAGTTGAAAAGAAGTCTCGATGGGAGGGCACACTAAAGCTGATTTGAACGAAAGTACCATTGAGACTTATATATTCTGTCATCTTGGCAGAAATATTGAGGCTTCTGGAGAAATGCCGCAAAATGAAGGACAAATATCCGAAGCTCAAGCTTCACAACCAAATGTCCTACACATGCATCATTAAATATTGCAGATGTAGATTGAAGAGAGTTGCTCGTGGTTGCCTTGTCAAAGACAATAGGAGAAACTTTCACGTCTCATGTGTATATCAGATACTAGAATGCTGTTGGGATACTGAAAATTATCTTGTGCTTCATCCTGTTCATGCTTCGAGGAGACTACCTTGTGATGAAGTAGAAACAAAGAAATCTAAAAACACATCAGCCGAGCCTTTGGTCTCATCAAATAATGATACCTCATTTATC